GGAGGGGAGGGGGGAGGCAATGGAGTGGGCTTGTCTTCCATCAAGCTCGGGAAAAGCAGAGAAAACTTCTCTGTGGGGAGAAAAGACAGAGGCAAACACGGAAGGAGAAGCAGAGGCAGAGGCCAGGGAAGAGGCGGGAGGGAGGGGACAGGAGATTCCCCGCCCTGGGCTATTCCGAACCAGATTCTAGAAGGTCCTCCATATCCTCCCAGCAAACTCCCCTTTTTTATTTAAACCGACCCGAAAGGGGTTCAGGCTACATGGCCAAACCGTATATGCTCCATAGTCCGTTCTACCCACACAACCTGGCTTCCTGGAGTGATCCGTGCTGGCCAGGCCTCCACCCTGCAAACCCTGAGCTATGGAATGTTCCCGCTGTCTCCCCACCCTTTGAGGCCTGGCCCAAAGCCCTCCTTCTCCTCCTCATTGGGGTCGCTCCCTGGGCCTTCTTGTGCCGGCGGCCACGTGATTTTGAGTTCACTGTTTCCTGCCCCAGAGGTCATGCTCCCCTAGACGTTTCCCGATAACCCCCTGCAGCAGAGAGGAGAGAGTAGGTGACTATGGTCACAGGACCCCAGCAAAGCCCTCGCCATGGGGAGACCCCGGCAAAGCCAGTGAGCTCAGCTCTTGCCGCCTTCCTGGTACTGCACGGGCGCAAGACGGATCACGGAACATTCTCGTACCCACCCATTGGGTGCTGGGTGTGTGCATCCACGTGCCAGGGTAGTGAGTCGGCACCCACAGCCAGGGCCCCTGCTGCGAACCAGCAGGAGAAGACCAGAGGCATGCCACCCAGCGGGTAAAGGGGTCCTTTATTTTCACATTACACAGAGCTGGTTCATGCTGCTGCCAGTGCCCCCTGCCTGGGGCCAAAAGAGCCATGGGAGGGGTGGTGGGTCCCCTGAAGCACCTGTCCCAGGGCAGACGGTCTGCTGTCTACCAGGAAGAGGGCCCTGGGAAAGGGGCGGGGCTCCGGGAGAAAGTACCAGGAATTCTGGACAGAGGCTGCCAGGGGGGGCCTGGCCACAGGGGGACTCCCCAGCAGGACGGACCAGAGTGGCAGCCAGGCCTCCACATCCTGCAGGGGCCTCCCTGGTGGCAGGTGGGGCCACAGGGCCTTAGGGTCAGTGTCAGTCAGTCAAAGACCAACTGGAGTCGTGGGGTTACAAAGAGGAGCTCCCACATGACCCCAGTCTCCCCGACCCAGGCCCCTTCAGGCCCTTGAGGCGCAGCTTTTTCGG